AATTAGTGTTTGTGTTAAATGTAATTTAAACGCACTCGAAAAGAAGAAAAATAATGCTACTTTAAAATATCATAGTAACCCTTCATGATTAGCCATTTTCCCTATCACCCTAAAATTGATTCTCAAAGTGAGGCGTGGGGTGACCTTGACATTATTTTCAACACGTTGATCGGGCCTGCCTCACCTGGGACCAGAATCCCCTGCAACAGTACTCCAAGAATGAGAAGTTCAGCCAGGCTGTGAAATGATTCTAATACCCATTGATGTTTGAGAACCACTGTTCTAGAAGTTCTCAGAATCAAATTGAAAACAAATGACAAGAGGGAGAAATTGATTTTCTTTCCTGAGAAGCAGACCAAATTTTTCAACTTAGCAAACTTATTTTAAACTTGTTTTAAACAGTAATCTTCCAAAATATATTCAATGAATATATTCTCTATGAACATCTGATTGCATTCTGCCTGAATATGTCGGTAACTATGCGTTAAGAATATATTCTTATTCGATTCAATATATTCCTCATGAATACATTTCTTGCAAAATATTTTCATTAAATAACATACTTAAAAGAAAATATTTCATAAGGATATATTTATATGAAAATTAAATCATTCTAGGTCTCTGAGTTTTTGAAAAATGGAATATTCCTTAAAATTGCTGTTAAGAAAAAATATTCATTGAGAATATTCAAGAAGTTTTTGTGAAATTAGTGAATTTAGTGAATTCAGAGTTGTCATTCAGCAAATTGATCCTTTGAGGGATTCAACTTTTGTTGAATTGACCTAGAGTCCTCTCAAAAAGCCCAAGGGACTCTGGGCTATGCTGAGGTTTAGGAGCGGATGAAGGTCTAGGAGGCTAAGGTTGGGTCAGCAGGCTGAGTAAGGATCTGGGTGTGGGAGGTGTCTCCTAAGAGGTCTTGTTTCTCACCCTGAGAGTCCTGAGGAGGCCAATGGTAGCTCTTCTTCTTTCCACATCCAGTGGGGGCTGGAGACTGTTGACTGTTTCATTACAGGGAGAAAGCAGCCCTTACCATTGTTAGAGATGTTAAGACCCATTCTATGGAGTTTCATAAAGGAAGGTAATGGTTTGCAATGCAATTGGAGAAGTGGGGACAGATTGCATTCTTAGAGGGAGCCACCGTATGTCTTATGCCCCTCACCTAAGGGGGGACATCCCCCCAGAAATATCCCTTCTCCCCTGGGTGACCTTCCTCTGTGACTCTGCCGTAGCTTTGTTGCTTATGCAGATTTGCACATGACCACCATTTTGGGTTTCACCCTGACAGCTTAGCAGCTATTGAAAGAGCCCTCAAAAGGAGACTGTGCTGTTGCCAACGGCCACAGAGAGTCTTAGATAATCCCTGACAACATCAGCTCACATCTATTGGTGCTTTCCATATGAGAGTTGGTGACTTGCCAACTTGCAAGCACAGTCTCACTTAATCTTCACTACAGTGAGATCCAGTGATGCTAACTTGTTGCTTGAGGCCTCACAGCCACTGTGCAGTTGACCTGAACTTTGATACCAGGTAGGTCAGCTCCAGAGCTTCTGCCTCCTTTGGTTAGAGAAAAACACTCCGTTTTGTTACCCGAAATCTGTCTGCTGCCAGTGTAGTCTTGAGGACAAATTATTTTAAAGAGAAAATGAGGAAGTGAAGGAAGAGGTATTCTCATAGGTGGCCAGCCGTGAGCTTGTTACAGTTACGGTTTTTTAGACTGGGCCAAATGGACTCTGGGTCTTGGGACCAACAGCAGATGAAAGCTAGGGATTCTCTATTCAATAAAAAAGGAATCAATCTGGATTGATTCCTCAGGTCCTGAGGAACTCCTCTGAGTGTCATAGCCCAAGGGAGATACAAAGCACCTGACAAGAGCTTGTGTTTGTTTTGTTGGGTTGCTCAAGAAAATATAGGATGTCCAGTTAAATTTGGATTTCAGATAAACAACAAATAAATTTTTAGTATAAGTATGTTCCAAATATTATAGGGGATATACTTATCCTAGTGAATTTTGTTGTTTATTTAAAATTCAAATTTCACTGGGAGTTTTGTATTTCTACTTGCTCAATCTGGCAACCCAATTTCTTGGGGGAAATAGCTCACAACCCAGGCAGTGTGTTAATAAAGACAGAGCGAAAAGTACAGATAATGGGGCCTTTGGAGAAAGGAGAGCTCTGGATGTAAATCCAAGGAAGTAATGCGATCTTCTGGGCATCAGACTCAGTGGAAGGAGCTTTGTGATGGGAAGGCTTCCTGGAAGAGCTGGTTCCTAAGGATAGGAGGGAAAGATCCAGAAGGGTAGAGAGGTGGGAAGCTACCTCTCTGCAACACACACACACACACACACACCACTGTTGCTTATTTGGTTTATATAGGTTTCCACAGAAAATGAACTCCTGTTTTAACCTCAGATAATATTTATTAGGGATGCAATTTCAGCCTTGCATTCTATTGTTTTGTTTCCCTTGGAGCCCGTCTCTTAAAGATCCATTCCATTGCCAAAGCTGACCCTTCTTCTGTGGGTCCTCCTGCAGCTGAGACAACTCCTATTTCTTGTAAAATGTTTTGAGATCCTCTAAAGAAAAGTACTTCAGCAGCACGTGAGATTGTTGCTGCGTGACCAGCTCATCCCTTGCTTTGGCCCTGGCGCCAAGCCAATCCTGAAAAGCCCACTCAGCTGTTCTAGGTTTTCCCAGAAGAGCTACCTGGGCAAGAAAGGAGAGGCCCAGACATGTTGAAGATGGCAACTGTTCCAGCCCTTTCCTGGGACTGGGTGGGACGGGACAGATCCACAGGGGCAGGGCAAGAGGGAGGAGGCTCCTCCAGCAGGGGCAGGGATCTGGGTACCTGGCTCTATCTGATCTTCTCCCTACCCTGGGGTGATTGAGGGCTGGGCTTACAGCAAGGGTGACTTTCCAGAATGGCCTGGAGGACAGGTGTGACCCCAGTGAGGAGGGAGAACATAAACTCCCCCCACCCCCCCCAGCATGAGATCAGTACTCTGTGAATGCAAGGTGTTCAAACCCTAACTCAAACACACCATTTCCTGCCTGCTGCCCGCAGGTCTTAGGCCAAGTGACTGCTACCTCTTCCTCCCACGGGCAGAGTGGGTGTGTGTCTGTCTCAGTGTCTTCCCTGGGGGACTGACCAAGGCCAAGGTGTACTTGGGCTCACGTCTCTTGCAGGAACAATGGCTATAGCTTGCTCACACCTGGATGGCTTGACCTTGGCATCAAGGTGACCTGAACTTCAATGGTGAGAATGGGGTGGGGGGAGGCAATGTGCAAACTGCCCGTTCATCCTCACCGTGCCAGCCACTTTGCCATGGGAAAGACTCACAGGCTCACTTTACCCTCATACCTTATTGCCCAAGAGCTAAACCGCGATGTGCATTAGGGGTCCTACCCCAGCCCCACAGACCGGCAGCCTTTCCCCGTTCTTTTGGCAGCCCTGGCCTGTGCATGGACTGTGTACCCTTTCTCTGAATGTCCTTCTTCCATCAACTCCTCTGTCTGGAGAACTCCTTAGGGGACAAAACTTGCCCCAAAGTCATCTCTCCCATGAAGCCTGCCTGTTTTCCCCTTTGGTGCCTTCTTCTTAGGGCTCTCTTCTGTCCCTTTGCTGGAGAGAGTGCTTACAAAACCTCTTGCTCTGGAAGCTTTGTGTTCCCAGCTCCCGGCCCTGTGCAAGTCTCCACAATTGCTCCCTGACCCAGCCTGCGCCCACTGAATGTTTGGGGTCTAGCCTGGCTGGACCTGGAGGTCTCTGGGAGACAATGCCTACAACCAGGGCTTTGGCTTCCCTTTCGGCTTCCAGTGGCCTCCCCAGAGGTGGGCTGCTGACCAAGCAGGAAGTACCCGGGTCAGTGCCCATGCACACTACCTGTGGCTTGTTTCAGCCTCACACCCGCCTTTTCTGGCTCATCTCGGAGGCACTGGGTTCCTCCTTTATCCCCCAGACTCCTCCACTGACCGCTCCCTGGCCTTTCCTGCTGAGTCAGCCCTCTGCTAATTGCCACCAGCTGGCCAGCCTGCCTTCCCGAGATGCAGTGGGCTGCCTGCGCATGGAGGCCGACTCTGGGTGGCTCGTTTGCTGGGGAACTGGCATGGCTTCTCCCAGTGAATGTTGGGGCAGCTAGCCCAGCCAGGCCTGGGGGTGGGGTGAGCGGGGAGAGAAAGGCCCAGGAGAATGTAGGGAGATGGGGAATGGGCCTGGGGGAGACCAAGGGGCCCCCTTCTACTGTCCATAGCCTTTCTTTACAGCAGTGGTTCTCAACGAGGCAGGGTGATTTCCTCTCTTCACCCTCACCTGCCTGGGGCATTTGGCAATGTCTGGAGGTGTTTTTGGTTGTCACAACTGGCAGGGGGAGGGGAGAGCTGCTGGCATTCAGGATGTGGAGGCTGGGGATGCTGCTAAACATCCCGCAAATGCACAGGACAGCCCCCACGACAAAGTATTATTTGACCCACAGTTGTCCACAGCACCAAAGTTGAAAAACCCTCCTTTAGAGAAAAGAGGCTGGGGCTGGCTGGGATAGGGGCCTCATGTTTGAGAGGTAGGCTTGAGCAGGTTTTCATTTGTCTGGGGGATGACTTGTTCTTAGGGCGCACGTGCGGCCTATGCAGGCCAACCTGCCCCTGCGGGTCCCCACAGGGAGCCACCAGCGTCTCCCTGCCCTCACCGTGCTCCTCACGGTCCTCCGCGCATCCCCACCTCCACAATTCAGGCCCGGGGAGGGGGGCGCATTTCTATCAGCCCATAGTTTCAGAAGGGCCAGGAAGCAAGGGCTTTCCTCCCATTTTTCCAAAAACACTATACATGAAGGAACATTTTATTTTCTTTCATCCCCTATAGGATAACATTATTCACCACCATGCAATTGATTGCTTATTTTGTACCTGGAACTTTCACACATACCACATGGTATCATTGTCACAACAAGCTATGAAACAGCTACTGTTACTCCTTGGAAAAAAAACCCCAGCTGAGGTCCGTAACTTACCCAAGTCTTGTAGGTAAAAGGGGTAATGCTGAGATTGGGACCAAGTCCTTGGCCCCCAAATCGGTAACTGGAACACCCCCAAAGATTTCTCTTGTAAGAATTCAGCATCATAGAGGAACTTTCTAAGTGAAAAAGACCACAGGGGCTCTCGTGTCTTCCAGAACTGTATGGGTATGAGTAGGGGAGACCAGGAGAGAGGCTTTGGGCCGCTAGGAAAGAGGAGGCTACCAGAGGATGCGACTGATTCCTGGGAGGGGTGACTCATGCTGCCATGAGTCAGCCTGGGCCCCAGAAGGTCCTCTTCCTCCTCCAGGGCCCGTGCTCCCTAGCGCTGGGGTCGGTCAGGTGCCTGGAAGGAAGGACCGGGTGCCCCTCCCAGAGAGCATGGTCTGGCCCTGTTCTGTCCAGGCATCCATCCGGGGAGCTCTTGCTGGGCTGCTGAGTGTTGCTGGAGCTTAGAGGCTGCAGGAGGCAGGCAGTAAACAGGAAATGGTTAAGTAAGAGCAGGTGGAGCATGCCGGGTGCTGGAGCAGGGCAGGAAATAGCTAAGTGGCTGAATGGACTCAAAAGAATGCTCTGCCCTCCTCCCCGAGGCTTTGGCCAAGGGCTGTCCACCCACCCCTCCCTGCCCTGCATGGAGAGGCACCCAGCCCAGCAGCCTCCTGACCCCCCGCTGCCCTCCTCAGTTCTGCTGGCGCTGGGAGGTGCTGTGAGGAGAGGGCCCAAGGTACCAGGAAGCCCAGCCAGGAGCGATGGGGCAAGAAGGAGCGGGTTCCTTCCCTCCAGGGCTGTGAGCCAGGCCCAGCTCCAGTGGCCCGGGAGTGAGGGGCTGGGGGGCGGGGCATAGACAGCCTCTCCAAGCCCTAGAGGTTGTTTTCCTCCTCCTGGTTCTTTGTTCCCTAGAGGGCCCTTTGTATTGACTGGGGCTCCTACCCTGGGCCAAGCCCACAGCCAGAACAGTGGCCTGGGACCTGGACAGAAAAGGCTGGATGCCCCAGGGGCCTCCCCTGCTCTCCCCTTTGCCAGGGGGAACAGCAGCAGGTGACCCCGGCGGAGGGGTGGCACTCTCCTCCAAGGTGGGATGAGGAGCCTGAGGTTAGGGAAGTTACGTGGCTCACACAGGGAAAGGGCTCTAGGGCTTAAACCCCCTTCTGCCTCCCTGCCCTTCCCCTGCTCTCCCTCTGCACCTCAGTACCTCTCCTGTTCAGAGAATTTTCTTGCTCTTCCCTGGAGTAAAATCAGTGGTGCTCTGGGTACTCTCTTGACCCCTTTCTCAGGGGACCCACCCTCATGGGCAAGCAGGGCTCTGCTTCCCAGGGTCCTTTTGCAAGTGGGCTTCTTCTCTGCAGGGCAAAGGGTCCCATAGCTCCAGTCTTGCAATGTCACTGGCACATTACTGTCTGAGGACTCTGGGGCATCTAGGTATGAATACCCAGCCCTGGCCTCAGCAGGCAGGATTCCCTGGGTGCCTGAGGGGCCCACAGGGACACTGAGACAGGCGTCGCCTGTTCCTGGTGCTGGTTGTTCCCCAGTACATGGCTCCTGGGTGCAGCAGTCTTGCAATGGGGAGTTGAAGGCCTTAGCCCCTGCCTGAGTAGGGGGAGAAGCTGTGCTCACGTATTTTCCTGATAGCAGTGGACATCAAGGGTATCTCAACCCCCAAGGAATGAGAACAACTCAAGTTGATTGGGTTTTATGTTCTATTTGTTTATAGTAAGTGTATATTTAAGTATGTGCATGTATATATTTATACATGTATTGACTCATGTAATCCCTATAGCAACCCAAAGAAGAGGTACTTGGATTACTCCCATTTTCCAGATGAGGCCTAGAGAAGGGAAGTCACTTGCAGCGGTGGCTCAGGTACTCTGACTTCAGCCCTGGGCAGCTAGCTCTGGCCCATACTCTGGCCACTAGGCTGCATTGCTTGTGCGGGAGCCTTTGGAGGAGGCCACATTTGTTCTCCTCGAGGTCCCTCATAAGATCCTTATTCTTTAGGAAAAGTTCCTTGTCTCTCAGGAGCCAGAATTTCCCGAGCATCCTTCAATATATCCGAGGCTCTTGAGGTCTCTGAGAATGCCAGAAAAGAGGAGGAGAAAATAGCTGGAGAGCTTGTCAGTTCTCCAGGCTGGGCCATGAGCATGGCCTCTTCCTGCTGCCACTGTTATGGGGCCCTGGGGAAATTCTGCCGTCAATTCTGTTCATTCAAGAGCCGTGGGTTGGCACCAACTTTGTGCCAGTCCCTGGGCTGGGCACTGGGAGGAGTAGCTAGAGCAGACACATCATGTGCCCTGGGGGGTTGGCGGTAGCAGAAGAGTATTTTCGTGCGTCTTTTGATTCAATGTGGTAGATGCTCAGATAGAGGGAAGTGTGCGGGTGGAGAGCGCGGAAGCAGAGAATTGGTACTTAGCCAGCCTGGGAAGTCAGAGTAGGTATCCTGCAGGTGAATGAGCTTGGCTGAGCCTTGAAGGATGATCCCACTTAACCAGGAGGAAGAAAAGGGGTCCGTGCCGGGGGGGAGGGTGGGCAGAGTTGACAGTGTGGGCAAAGGCTTGGAGGCCTGCCATGCTGGTGAAAGCAGAGCATAGAAGCACCGCAGCATTTCTAGAGGTAGCGGAACGGGAGAGGACCTGGCGGGGATGGCATCACAGGGCCTGAGAGGCCACGTCAGGGCCCCAGAGCTTTGTCAGCCTCTGCCTCCTGGTCTGAAAGACCCCCGCAGAGAGAAGGGACTTGGGGGAAGACAGCGCAAGAGGTGGACTCGTGCTCTCTGCTTTCAAGAATTACGATGAAGCTATGGTAATGGAGGCAGTAGAAGGAATGGAAGGCCAGACATTGATGATAGTGGGCACGGTAGACAGTGTGGGAGATACCCCCCGCCCCATGCACACTCAGCTGCATTTTGAAAAATGCAAAGGGAATTCCATGGGGAAAGGATAGTCTTTTTAAACAAAAATGGTGCTGGAAAATTTGGACATCCATAATGAAAAAAAAAAAAGCTTTGGCTTCTAACTCAAAAAATATCAAAGACAAAAACATAAGAGAAAGTATGAAAGAAAAAAACCTAAAAGTATGAAAGAAGAAAACGCAAGAGAAAAATCTCTGTGACTTGGGTTAGGTGAAGTTTCTTTTTCTTTCTTTCTTTCTTTTTTTGTTTTATTTAAAGCAACTTTTTATTTTTAGGCGAAGTTTCTTATTATGACGACAGACGCATGATCCATGGAAGAAAAATGGACAAAGTGGACCGAACAAAATTAAAAACTTCCAGTTTTTCAAAAGACACTTAAGAAAATGAAAAGAAAAACCACAGACTGGGAAAAAATGTTTGCAAAATCTGTATCTGACCGAGAGGACTTGTATTTAGAATATATTTAAAAATTTCCCAAACTCAATAATAAGAAAACAAACAATTTGGTTTTTAAAATGGGCAAAATAGAGGTGCCTGGGTGGCTCAGTCATTAAGCGTCTGCCTTTGGCTCAGGTCATGGGGATCGAGCCCCGCATCGGGCTCCCTGTTTGGCGGGAAGCCTGCTTCTCCCTCTCCTGCTCCTCCTGCTTGTGTTCCCTCTCTCGCTGTGTCTCTCTCTGTCATATAAATAAATAAAATCTTAAAAAAAATAAATAAAATGGGCAAAATATTTGAACACACACTTCACCGCAGAAGAGATACGGATGGTAAATAAACACATGAAAAGATTTTTAACATCATTAATCACGAAATTAAAATCATAATGAGAATCCACTCTATCCCTTTAAGGATAGCTAAGATACAAAAAAAAAAGTTAAAACCCAAAAGCTGACCATACCAAGTACTGGGGAGGATGTGGAACAACCGAAACTCTGATTTGTTGCTGATTTGTTGGGAATGCAAGATGGCGCAGCCCCTGTGGAAGACGGTCTAGCAGTGTAGTGTACAGTTCAGCATCCACTTACCCTATGACCCCGCAATCCCACCGTTAGATACTTACCGAGAGAGATGAAAACTTACGTCCACAAAAACTTGTATGCAAATATTTATAATGGCATTTTTCATAATGGCCAGAAACAGGGTACAACCAGTACAATAGCAAAGTCCTTCCGTTGCTGAATGGATAGACACACTGTTATGCCATCCATTGAGTGGGACACCGCTCAGAGATGAAAACAAACTGCTGACATAGGTCATAACACGGGCGAATCGCAAGTGCACCAGGCTAAGTGAAAGGAGCTGGACTCCGGTAGGTGGCTTTGTGCTGCAGGATTCCATTAACAGGCACACCTCGGAGATATCTTGCGTTCGGTCCCAGACCCCTGCAATGACGTGCATATCGCAATAAAGAGAGTCAAATGAACTTTTTGGTTTCCCAGTGCATACGAAGTTTACACTATACTTACTGTAGGCTATCAAGTGTGCGATAGCATTCCGTCTACAAAAACAATATATCCCTTCATTAAAAATGCGAACCATCATGTGAGCTTTCAGTGAGTTGTAATCACTGATCACGGATCACCATACCAAATACAACAATAATGAAAAAGTTTGAAATATTGTGAAGTCACCAAAATGTGACCCAGACACACTGTCGGGAAAGCGGGGCCGATAGACTTCCCCCGTGCATGGTTGCCACAAACCTTCAATTTGTGAAAAACAAAAACAAAAACAAAAACAAAAAAACAAAAACCACAATATCTGAGAAGTGCAATAGTGAAGGGCAATAAAGGAGGTATGCTTGTATTCAACATATTGGAAAAGGCAAAACTACAGGAACAAAAAAATTAGTAGTTTTCAGGGCTAGGGCCGGGGCAGGGGTGGAGTAGGAACACTGGAGAACTTAGGGTGTGATGGAGCTCTTCTGTATCTTAATCATGATGGTTACATGACTGCATGCATTTGTCAAAATCCATAGAAGGGACTGAATTTTACCATATGGAAATGATATCTTAAACTTGACTTAAAAAAACACAGTGAACTACGCTAGGTTATAGAACCTCATTTTATAACTAGGCTCTAGGCCTGGGAGTTGGGGAGACTCCTCTCTGGTCTAGTTCCTGAGGGCCATTTTGCCCCCTCGGACCTCACCCACCCACCAATGGAAGCTTTGCTCTTTGTGATGTCAGAGGGCCAGAAGGGGAACCATTAATGAGCCCCTCCTCTGGGCAGTTGTGCTCCCTGGTTTTGTTAAATGCAAATGCCCCTGGGAGAGCGAGTAAGTTAAGTTGAGGGAGTCTCTGGCAGAATGAGAGAGGGGGATGGAAGGATGGGAAGGGAAACAGTTTCCATGAGGTTGAAGGGTGGGGGTGGGGTGGGAGGTAAGCCTTCAGTTTGGTTGGGGGCACTGGGCTGTACCCATACATAGGGAGTGTATCGGGGGGCCGGGGATTAGGAGCTGCA